TCTTTCTCTTCCTCCCCTGCCCGATGCCGCAAACGCGACCAGTTTTCCCACTCCACCATCAACTACTCCAGGTGCGTCTTCTTTTTTCATCTTTCAGATGCATTACTTTTGAGGTGTATTAGTTACTAGTTTATAAGCTGGAGTTGTGTCACTTGCACAGTGTAATACTTTTGCAAAACGTCATTATTTTTACTTACTGCTTAAATCCTACATACTGTTCCTCTGTCCGATTCTTCGCTTGCAGTGGATTTCAGACTGTGTTGATTTTGTAGGAAATGTTCTTTTCTTTCTTCCCTAGATTTTATTTTATTTGGGCCAGCACCTCTTGCTTTCTCTCATACACATGTTTGCCTTAAGCCTACCAAATGCAAAATAGCAAGGCGAAGTCTGAGTTCTCTGAAGAGATCGTCACAATTGTAGCCTGAGTGAGAAGAGCTCAACCATTCGGTTTCTCTGGAGATTTAATCTCCTGTTGTTATGGCTTGGACACACAAAATGTATTTTCAGTTGATCAGCAGTAAATCTAAATGAATCACATCTATATCTTTTTTTCTTTTTTTTTTTTTCCAGCTAGAAAATATATTTGTGGTGGCTTACTTTTTAATTCCTCTGGAACAATTCAGAGTCCTTCGTATCCTTTAAATTATCCAGATAATGCAGATTGTTTGTGGCAAATACAAGTAATGAATAATTTCCGCATTGCGCTTACATTTGGAAGCGTTCAGTAAGTAAACTGCTCCCTGCTTGGGCAATAAATGGGTTCATAATCTCAACTGCAACCACAGTTCCCAAGCACGTTTCCCATGCTTATAAGTGAATTATAAATATTACACGGGAATTGTGTGAGTGCAGTATCTTAATTTATTGTTTGTTCAGAACTTAAAAACTGAAGTTTACCAAATGCATTTTATGATATACTCATGTTTCTTCCTCAGGTTGCAAGGCGGATGTCAGAATGACTATATTGAGATCTATGATGGGCCACCCAATACTTCTCCTGTGCTTGGAAGAATTTGTTCTAGTTCTGATCTCATGTACACATCATCTTCAAACTTCATGACTGTCAGATTTCACAGTGACTCCAGATATTCCAGTAGAGGGTTTCATGCTGAGTATCAGTCCTTCCCAGCAGACCAGAACACCAGTAAGTTTCCATTCTCTTTGTAATGTTTTCTTTGCTCAGAAGCTTTTATACCCTGATTTTATGTGCTAAATAAGTATTTGCTAATGTTGTTGAAGAAATCCCACATAGATGACATTCTTACTTGTATTTCATAACTGGTTATTGACACATCATTTTCAGACAATAATTATTCTTTCATTTTAAAAAAATCAAGTATCAAATTAATTGTCTTTAGATGTTTTCTATGATGGCCAGTCTAAATCCATATTTCTTTTTATCACATCGTTATTCATATATATTTTCCTACCTTTGTGGACAGATTTTCATAGAATCATAGAAATATTGGTTAGAAAGGACCTTTGGAGGCTTCCTAGTTCAGCTATTCAAAGGAGAGCTATTGCCCACACTAGGTCAGGTCCATTATGCATTTGTCCAGCTGAGCCTCTAGAAATGTTCAAAGGATGAAATCTTCAAAGCCACAACTTCTCTGGGTGACCTGTTCCAGTACTGTCCTGCAGTCCCAGTGGGAAAGTTTATCTAATGTGCACTCACAACCTCCCCAAGCACAAACAATGGCCATCACATTTGGCTCTATTGTCTTCTTAACTGCCTTTCAAGAGGCTGTGTGTTGCTAGTACGTCCCTGTCATCAGTTATCTCTCTCTACCGAAGGCCAAACTCTCCCTGGGATCATTGCTTTTCATGTTCACTCAGTGAACCGTCATGGAGATGGTTTCAGGATCCCCTCCCACCCAAGTAGTGTTTCCAGTGTGCACGTTTAGCTCTACACCTTCCACAATAGCTTTTGGATTCTTATGCAGGAAAAACTCCCAATTCTTAGCATTTCTGTGAGTGGTGATACAGGCTCAAGGTCTCAGCAAAAGCCTGTTGTAAGCTACATATTTTTGTCAGGAGAGTAACTGAAGGTCAGCTGAAGTTTGTCAGAGGCCATTGTTTATTCATATTTAAATCTAAAGTGTAAAAATAAGTGGTTTGGCTTATGAATTCTCTCCGCTAAATGGTAGCAGCTATTGCATTTGTTGAAGATGTAACATGCAAGTATTATCAAGTACCTGAATTCAGTAATAATTCATATTTTCTTCCCTAGCCCTTGCGTGCTTACCAACCTACATGCGCGCAGCTGTAAACAGACACTATCTCCAGTCACAAGGCTACTCAGTGTGGAACATCAGCTTGTCTGACTCTTATTGTAGACCAACAATTACATCAACTGAGGTTATATTCAACGTTCCATACAATGGCTGTGGTACACGTAGACAGGTTGGTGTCAACATATTTTGGAGAACCCTCTAAGTCTGGGCATGGAAACTAAATGGACATTTGGAAAATTGTCATGAATCGCAAAGGATGTTGTAGCAGACAGGTATTCAAAACGCAAAAAAGAAGCATGTGTTTCTGGAGGCTAAGGTTTGTTAAACATTCCTACTTATCCTTCCAGGCTTTAGGTAATCCCTGTATCTATTTCAGAATGGTGGTCTAGAGAACAAAATACAGAAGAGACTTAAGTGAACAATCCCATCTGGGATGCTTGGGACTTTTGAGTATGACATGTTCTTTCTGACTAATACTAGGACCTGGCACATAAAGGAGTTTATAGTATAGGTTGTGACCATGACTACATGTGATAATTTTGTACTCATCTAATGTGTCAAATAGGGCAACAATGAAACGATCACCTACTCCAATGTGATAAAAGTGCCTGCACCTGGTTCCATCATCAAGAGGCAAAAGGACCTTCACTTGCACATCAACTGCAAAATGCTCCAGAACACCTGGGTACAAGTAATGTACATTGCTGATGACATCATTAATGTCAGTGAAACCCAGTATGGCAGATACGATGTGAACTTGACATTCTACAATTCCTCATCTTTCCTGTGGCCAGTGCATGACTTCCCATACTATGTTGACCTGAATCAGAATTTGTTCCTTCAAGCTTCTCTTCACAGCTCTGACCCAAATCTGGTGGTCTTTGTGGACACATGCGTGGCATCACCTGATCCTAGAAATTTTAGAACACTGACCTATGAATTGATCAGAAGGGGGTAAGAAATTTCTAAAGAATTATTTAAAAGCTATATCTCTATGCATAGTTCTGAAAGAGCTTTTCTTATGAAAGAGGTCATTTAGGGCCAGTGTACATTGGTTGCAATTCTTAATACAAGCATACTTCTAAGAAAGACTTTTTAGCAAAGCTTGAATAACATATAATACGACAAAGAAATGCCATTCAGAAGTTGCAGTCAAGCACTGAGATTTCACTCAAGGGTGCAGTGTAGAAACTCAGGTCTGAATTTGTTTCTGAAATAGATTCATGAAATGTAGGGCTGTCAATGCCTCCCGGGAGAGAGTTCGCAACAGTAACTTTAGCAGTGTATTAACCTTCCGCTAAGCTGGAAGTCAGACTTGTGACAGGCTAACGAAGTGACACAGTGCCTCCTGCCTGCTGGGTGAATGTCCTCCCTTTTACACTTTATGTGAATCTTAAGGAGGTTTTCCTCTTGTTGGGGTTTCTTTTTATTTTATCTATAAAAATACATATTCATTAAGCAGGACACAGAAGGACTGTCTACCTTTGTGAGCAGGACACTCACCATGGAGATGGGGCAAATAGATTCTGGTCATTTTCCAGTTAATTTTTATTCATGTGGCAAGGAACTGTGTCAAAAGCAAATATATTTACTGAATCTAAAATCAATAACATCCATCTATAAGTATCAGGTGTGTTGGGATATCACTGCAGTATAAAATAAACTAAGAATGAGAGGACTTAAAATCCTTGAGGTCTTTATTAAGGAAATGAGCACAATGGAATTTTTTTGAGATACAAAGATAATTAATGACAACTTTGAAATATTCTGGGGTAACGATTGTGGGTGAATTATTGTGATCTTTTTTCATGGTGGTTAAATTAAATCAGAATGACAAGGATCTAAGTTAGGTAACTTCCAAGGCTAGTAATTGTCAGGAAGTGAAACTCATTGACAGGAAAGTTAATGTAGCATCTTGCTCTGTGAAACATCTGGCGATCCCTGTCAGGTGTCGAGATTCCTCAAGCAAAGTACTCTACAAACATCAAAGGACTAAAGAGCATATTTATTGCCCAGAGAAGATGTATATTAGAATTAGTTTTGTCCTTCCAGAGTAGAAAGGGCCCTTTCTGCTTCCACAACAACTTGCAAGGGCCTCTTTGCAAAACAGGTCCTCACCTGAAACACAAAAACCAGCAGAGCCACTAGTCATTTTTCAGCTATTCATGTTTACATGAACCTTGTTGAGCTATGAAACTTCTGTGCTGTACACATTATTGTGGAAGAAATCACTGCCACTCTTACTTATTTTTGTCTCTTAATTTGTCTTCTTGCTAAAAACACACAGTTTTTTATCCTTTTGAGCTCTCTTATACTCTTACCTTCTGGTTCTATATTTAAACTCAAAACATATTGCACAGAGATATAGTGTTTCTATTCACAATAGCTAATCTGTTGATTTTATATCTTTCCAGGTGTGTTAAGGATCCTACCTACTCTCCTTACTATTCACCATACCACGATGTTGCTCGGTTTGCATTTAATGCGTTTTCATTTGTTAATCGATACCCGTCAGTTTACCTGCAGTGTGAGCTGGTGGTGTGCAGGCAAAACGACTACTTTTCCCGCTGCTATCAAGGCTGTGTTAGTAGGTTCAAGAGGAAAGCAGGTTCTTCCCAGGAAAAAGTTAATGTTGTTGTTGGACCTATTCAACTTCGGGAAGTTCACGCTGAGAACAGGAACACTGGTAAGTTTAAATATCTTAAATAACAGAAGACTGTCTGTATTACTGTATGTTTGCATGTCAGTTCAGACATGAAATCCAGCTCTGAAATATGCCTTTGCTGGTTCATTCATAAGTCTGCTATAATTCTTATGGGGATCTTTTTTTAATTAATTTTTATAAAATTGTTTTATAATGCTTACAAGCTATTTCCTTTCTATCCTAGTTCAGACCCATTGTTTGTTCTGCACACATCAAATGGCAATTGATTAAGTTCTGTGGGAAGCGGGATGAGATGCAACTCATCTCCCTGCAGGATTTATGTTAATTTTTCAAAGCCGTTTGTGCCTGATTGGCATGTCTCTTATTTATTAGCAACCAATCTCCAGGTCCCCTTGGAAATGTTGTTTCCCAGTGTCCTGTAGCTGCTGTTTCCACTGTCAGAAAACAGCATCTTATGGTCTTAGAGTGTAATCGTTGCAAATTCTTAGTTGCTCTTTAATTTCTTGCTGTAATCTTTACTTGCTTGGCATGGCCACAGGATCATTTGTGAAACAATGTTCAGTAAAGCACTTTGGTTTCTGATCAGATCGAGATTGCAACATTTTAATTCAAGTCCTCTTTGCCTAATTACCTTTGAGATTAACTAGCTCAGGAAAACAAATGTAAGCCTCTCTCTTTCTGTTTTATGCACAGAGCTGGCCTCTGACATCCAGGCGAAAGGGGACTCTTAGAGCTCAGCGCCTGCTGCCAGCTCCCATGTTCCTCTGGCTGTGACCGTCGTGGTGCTGGTGGCTGCTGTTCTCGCTGTGGGAGGATTTCTTTTGAAGCGTAAACTGCAGGAACCCATCCCATACCAGATAATGTGAGAGGCAACCCAAGACTTGCAGGTGGACGGATATTTTCACCAGCCATCTGCTTCATGATTTGGTTTTGTAATCTGCATAGAGAGTAACTCTTACTTGACTATTCCGCCATTCAGATCTTGTTTGAAGAATGCACTGTACTAAGGTAAAACCTGGTGTTACCATGAACTGAACTTATAAAGGAGCCTGGCTTTAAAATCCTCACGTCCACATACACCTAGGGTCTAAAAAAAGGTTGATTCTTCCATCCCAGCATCCAAATAAGCTACCATCTTCAATGCTGGACATGTCAGAGCATCTCAATTGAGCTCCTGGTTGAGTGTCTGTCTGAGAAGACTGATTTGGTAACTTGAGAAAGAAGAACTGACTTATTTTGCCATTGCTGATATGCAGATAAAACAGCTGTGTGGCACCATGAGATACTCTGGAAAGTAGTCCAAGAAATACATTTCTTTGCATTAAAAATATCTCAGTAATGAGCCATAAGCAAAAATGCACAGGAGCTGCACATAAGGAATTGCTCCTGTACAGCATTCCTTATTTTGGGGGGTATGTTTCTTCACAGTTACGTGTTACTCTGAGAAAATGTAGTCCCTTTATAAGATTTTGAATAGAGGACAAATATAATCAAATCTGTTATGTAAATGTGCAATTAAAAAAAGCAGGAAAGAAAATGTTTTTTGAGCAATATTTCGTTTTGTGTACTTGCAAACGTACTGCCTATGTGTCTGAACTCCCAGCTAATGCATTATCAGGTTGGATAACATTTCTGACAAAGTGACTTAACCAAGCAATGCTTGTGCTCTTGTTCTTACGCATTTCTAGCCCTGCAATGGGGCGGGCAGAGAGAACCTACGTAAGTTGCCATAAGGAAGTGTGACCTGTCCCCTGTCCCCACATGAAAACAAAATAAAAACAATAAAGGAAGAATCTGTTTCGAAGAAGCCACTTACTACAGGTGGAAAAGTCACTGGTATTTGATTGAGAAATGCTTCTCTTCAGACCTTCCTGTTTTCTAGCCAGCTGTGAAAGAGGACCTCGATGTCCTTCTTGAAGTGAGGGGCCCAAAGCTGAACACAGGATTCGAGGTGCAGCCTCACCAGTGCCGAGTACAGGGGCACTCTCACCTCCCTGGTCCTGCTGGCCACACTATTCCTGATACAAGCCCAGATGCCACTGGCCCTCTTGGCCACCTGAGCACACTGCTGGCTCATGTTCAGGTGGCTGTCAACCAGCACCCCCAGGTCCTTTTCAGCCAGGCAGCTCTTCAACCACTCCTCCCCAAGCCTGTAGTGTTGCATGGGGTGAAGTACCTAGTTCAGTGGTTTCCATATTAAATGTTGCTGTAGAAAACACTGTTAAACTCTTCAAGTAGTTGGTGGCTCAGAATCATCCTCCTTGGTTCCTGCCACCTTTCTTGATCCTCAAGTATTATAGAAATGCAGGATTCGAGAAAACTGGATTTGGTGATGAGGAAACGGCCATGCTCTAAAGTACATATGCCTGGTGAATGGTGTCTCTGCCAAGAACCTTCTTCCTTCCCACCTCCTGCCCCACCACATTCAGTAAAGCTTCTACCAGTAAATCCAGTGGATTTGACTCAGTGGCAGACAGTTCTGATCCACTTGCATCCTCACCATTAAACAAATGCAAACTGATTTACAATGCCATGCTTCACATGACACATGCAACAAAGCCCAAGAAGCCATCAAGGAACCCAATAAATTAGACTAAGCTTCCTCATTGCATCTTAATGCATGGATTCAGACTATCGTTTCTTTGTCCAGAAGTCTGTGGATACCCTCATTCCAGTCTAGATACTTTCTTATAGTCATGGATGAAAGCTGATTAATCTTCTGTGTCCTTTCAGTGGTTGTCATTTGGACCTCACAAAAGGCAGTATGTCTGGAAAAGTCTCCTAACAATAATCAGTAGAAGAAAAAGTGTTTTCAAAGCTCAGTGGAGCTTCTTTCACAGAGTAATGTGCTGAGAAACACTTCAAGCTGCCAGAAGAAGTGCTCTCCTAGAGAGCAAAAATGTATTACTGCAAGAGACTTGCCTAGCCAACGGGAAGAGTGAAAACACGTGCTGTATGGTATTTGTATTAATTAATTAGTTCAAATTAATCAGGACATAACATTTATCTATTCTTACTCTGCAGAGATTGTCTGATGATTAAGATCTCTAGAAATACCTAGGTCTTTGAAGTTTGTAGTAAAGAATTAATTAGTAAAGAATGTAGTGAAGAATTAATTAATCAGTGTTTTTCATTTACCTGGATGGTTGGATATATTTTTTTTCACTTGAACTATCTGGAAATCACTTTCATGTTCCCCTACCTCCCCACCCTTTTCAGTTATTACAAGAGTTTGGAGAAGAATCGCTATCCATCACTTACTCTTGCATCACTGGTTGCAGTGTTTGATTGGTCAGTCAAATATACTGAATTTTTTCTGCTTCTTGCCAAGATGTCAAAATCAGAAGAATATGAATAGCGAATACCAGGTGTTGCGTACATTTCCTCATTCATGTGTGAATGTGGTTGTTTGTATAAAGAAGAAACATATTTACCCTTCTCAATGTTCACTTTCAAGGCTTCCAACATTATCTTTGGCCTCTTCTGTTTTGCACTTCCTTCTTCCATTCCAATAATGCTGGCCTTTGTGGAAAGACCTTCTAAGTAATTATTCCCTTGGGCTCCTGGACTTCAGTCTTCGTCCTTGATGACTGCTCCTGGAGGCAATAAATTTGTATATGGCAACAATTGTGCCACAGATGTTAACTCCTGATAACGCCATCCAAGCCATGAATCAGATGAAGAACAATATCCAGGCTCTTCAGTGCTGGGATGGTTATCAGCCTTTTCTCGTTAAGTGGTTAAAACACAGAAACACAGGAGAGCAACCACTTTGAGAATAATGAATGAGAATTAAGCATTATTTCATGTTGTGGAAAAGCTTTGGATTTATTCTTCGACGTGTGACGCAGCTGTAATTGTCACTATGCAAAATTAAACAAGAAATATATTAAGAAAGATTCTTAATAGAAATCTGAACATTCTTCTCCCCATTTGATGGTATAAACGATCAAAGGAAATTTTAGAATAAACTTAACTTCCAGCCTATGTAATTTCCTTAACTATGCATGAAATCCACTGTTTTTTCTGCACAGTTTTCACAAAAAGTTATCAGCTGGCCCTGATTCTGTTGACACTTTCTTGCAATCGAACAGTCTCTAAGTGAATAGAGTTTTCACTTGAATTTAAAAGTACTAAAAACAAATGGAGGTGTTGACTTCAGCCGCAAGGTTCTTCAGGTATCTCATAGTAATTTGCTTACAAGGCTTGGCTCAGTCTCTCTCCTTAATTATCTGGAGCAAATTACCCGCATGTTGAGGCAAAGTTATCACTTACTATGGTACGAGCTCCCCTCCGCTTACGGCTGTGGCTCTTAAGCAAGGAAACTAGGAAGCAATATTTCACGCTTCTCTTGAGTCAGGTCCTCTTGCTGCCACTCCAACTCTCTTTCCCCAGGTCCTGGACTGGTAGCTCAGCCTGATTGCCTCCTTTCCTTTCCTCACCTCTCCACCACATTGCCTCTCCAGTGGTTCCTGCATCCACCAAGAGGCTGCAGCCACCTCCTACCTTAACCTTCTTGTTGTTGGCTCTGCTGCTGATGGCAGAGGAATTGATGGTGTGGTGGAGCTAGCAATTTTGATAGGATGCAACTGTCTTGATTAAGTGTCTCTCAATTATCTTCATGTGCATTCAGCAACAGCCACAGTTCTGGTGGGCTATGTTCAGAGATCCCTCCAATCATATTCAACAGGGCCACCACATCTTACCTTATTTTATCTGAGTATGCCAAACCTGTAAGAAATTAATGGCTCCCCAGGGAGACTTGCCTCACTAGTTGGAATCAAGTTATGAAGCTCTTTTATTATTTTACTGGAGGAAACCCATTTACATTTCAAGATTCCACTACCTTCCCCAGACCTGCCAAGGAATCTCCCCATAAAAGAAAAATCCTGAAATTCATCAGCCAGAATTGAAAGGTATCTTTGGGTAGGTGCTCATTTTCTTTGTACAATGAGATGATTATGAAACCTATAGTAGCACAAATATTTCCTTCCAGGCAGTGGAAAATGTTTTTCTTGAGATATTATCTTTCTGCAAAACCCAGGAAGTTACAAAATCTTGAATAACAAATCAAACATATTTTTATTTCAGATTATAGGACTGTGATTGTTTTATTGTTCTCCTGCAGAAAGAGAAACCTATAGAGCCACTCCCCTTCAGAAATAGAGACTATATATTCTGACAGTCATTTCTATCAACAGCACTTGATGAGATGGGAACCACTATGATTTTGACATGGCTACTCTTGTTAGGTCCAGCAGTTCTGGAGGCCAGATCAGGTAAAGCATTTAGATTTGTTCCAGGGCACATAAAAAAAAATATAAAGACAGTTTCGGGTCCTCTCTGTTGATTCCGCAAATAGAAATCACATTCATGCTGGTATCGGTTTGGGCAAAAGATTAAAGGGGAAATCGGATGAAAGAGATAGCACAGTTTTGTTCTACTAAAATTATGAACTAATCATCATAGTAAATTATAAGAATGATTTAAACCATTTAGTGGAGTTCATTTTGCTCTCACAGGGTAGTGCTTTGTATCATTGTGATAATTGTGTCTGTGAGTATGTTATGAATGAGTCATTCTTCCAGTTCCAGAAATTTGATCTAAGAATTATGGAAGAATTTATTTATTTATTTTAAATGTATATTTATTCCAGAATATAAGTACACATACCTATGGTATATATTTAATATTTCTTGTATTATTTGATTCTTCTTGATCTTCTCTACAATTTAATGAGATATAACAAGAAGTTAGTTTTCATAATCTAGCACTGTGGATAAACGAGGGACATCTAAAAATAATGAAAGACATGAAACGCTTTTAGTTCAACTTTTTTTTTGTCATTGTCTTTTTCCTTACATGATTATTTTCTATCTCCTAAGTGACTTAGGTGACTTTGAGCTAAATAGTTCTATGTATATCCTAGAATAATTGCAGATTATTTTTCTAACTAGTTATTTAAGCATCACTATGATAATTTATATTGCGATCATCCACCTCATCCATTTTTCTTCATCTGTCCTCTGCCTGCCTGGTGATAAACCATCTTGCTCTTGCTGCTCCAGTTCTTCTCTCTGCTCTTGGCTTTGATCAGAGTAAGTGCTGTATTTGTATAGTCACAAGCTCTTGTCTTTTTGACACCAAAGTGTGAGGCAGGACGCAACCTATCTAATTACATGCCCAGCTGATGGTTTTGCTCTCACAGTGATGACAGACCCTGAATGAAAGCAAATAAAACTGGTTTAGATCAGCTTTCATTTCCTAATCCCACTCTGACTTTTTGCTACGTTTGCTGTTTCACCTCTCAAAAGTCCTATGAGTGTGGTTCAAAAATGTGCCTGTCCAAGCAGATATTTGAAGAAACAAATCAAATATAAGTCAAGAGGCACTTTTGTAGCTTCTCCCTTTGAACTGCCAGTTAAATGCATACAAATAGGGACAGATTTAGTTTGAACAGTCTTGACGTTCTTCTAGTCCAACAGCAAAGGATTAGATGCAGTGAAGAAATTCTGGAGCTGTTAACTTCTCAGATTTCTTTTGCTTTGGATGACTTATTCAGTGTTTAATAACAAGCTAAACAGGTATTTGGCAGAAATGCAAAGTATAACAAGTGCAGAGTGCATGTTTTGATTTCCAAAGCGTAAATACTGTGTATCTTAAGTTACAACATTTATTTGCTCACTTACACTTAGTGGTAAAGTCTTTAATAAACTTCTTCACCAAAAATAGATCTCTAAAATCAGGATTTTCATACTGTTCTACTGCAGAATGTCTAAACAAGCTAACTCAAACTGGAAAGCAGATGGGCTTTACCTGAATGAATGCAGTAATCAGATGTATACGTGATAGGTTATTAGGTATTTCTTTATTTCAAGCTCTAATAACGTTTTACTGGCATATAAGAAATAAAACCACTGGCTTCCTATTGAAATGTTTATAATCCCATTGAGAGCATTGTCCATTTTGTTGAACACTTAGTGGAATTCTTCCTTGGAAGAGTGGAATTACTCTTAAAAACTACAAGATTTGGTTGTGATGGGTAGACTCTAGGTCCTTAAAATTCTCCTAAAAATTTTAGAGGAAGAAGAGAAATTCTAGTTAAATTGCATAAGCCAGGGAGAAAAATAAAGAATGGCTTTTGTTTTCTCTAAAATCCTGTAGTTTTGGGGAAGGATTCATTTGGCCTAATTCTGACATCATTTTACACGAAGTAGTGCACTGCTTATTGTCCTTCAGTAGTGCATAATATCTCGTAAATTGCAATTTATCTGCTTGGTAATTTTTATATGACAGCACTGTAGCAGCCCCATGAGCATGTTTAGGAAAAAGACATGGTCTTGACTGTCCAAGCTGCATCTTACTGTGTCCTTGAAGCCTCAGTGCTCTGCTTGAGCCACTGCTGTGCTTTCCCCCCTGCACCCAGGTCAGCAGAGGCTTTGTACATCATGTAGAAGTGCTACACATATATGCTTCTGGTAAGACACAGGTTGAGGGCAGGAAAGCTGTTCTGTACGTCCTAAATTTCAGTAGGATTCTATGCAAATTGCAAGGTCTCCTTGTTCTTTAATGAATAAAAGAAATACATAAACATGAAATGTATTCTTAAAACATGCCATTTTCTTCCTATTAACGAAGTGGTATTTTCTTAATACAGTTCTACTTACATTTCATTCAGATATTGAAATTTATTTTCTCTCCTTTGCTTTCCTATTACATTTTTCTTATTATTAAAGAATTTCCTTTCTTGTTGAAAGTGTTTGTGCTCAGCCTGCTGTCTAAATTTTCTGAAATTTTGCATAAAATATATGCAACTGATTTTGACATCTGGAGGAGAGGAAGAAGAAACGTATGTATCACCTCTGTCCTCACAGGCATTTAATATTGGGCTAGGCAAGCACCTACTAGAAACGAGGGGGCAAGAGGACAGAATAGATGATTTCTTAGGGTCACTTCCAGTTTATTTTTCTGACTGAGTGCTCAATTCCATCTCTCCCAAAGCAACCGATCTCCAGCTGGTGAATGGAAGGCACAGATGCGAAGGTCGCGTTGAGCTCTATTACGAAGGACGGTGGGGGACAGTTTGTGATGATCTCTGGGACATTTCCGATGTCCAGGTTGTGTGCAGGCAGCTGGGATGTGGCCAGGCTGTGGCAGCTGTAGGAAGTGCTTTCTTTGGGCAAGGCTCAGGGGACATCCTGCTGGATGATGTGAAGTGCAATGGAAATGAGGTCTCCTTGTCGCATTGTAATCACCATGGATGGAAGACACACAACTGTGCCCACTATGAAGATGCTGGTGCTGTCTGTTCAGGTGCTGTCACATTTTTCTTTTCTAAATACTTTTGCTATAAACTGCACTCAGTATACTTGTGTCAGCATAGGAGTATGCAGGTATTCTCCTCCTGAGATAACATTTCATTCATTCAAGACATATGGTGGAAAGTTATACCAGATATATGTCTAATCTTTCTTTCTACTTTATTATGAAGAGTTTTCTATCTATCTGTGGAAGTGCACACTCCCTTTGAAAAGGCCTGTTCTCAGGAAGCGGAGTCTGATCTTCCAACAACCCTGTCTTTTCACTCCGCTGACCCTACAGAGCCAGCATGGACTCATGTTTTTCTCACTAGGGTAGTATACAAAGTGTGATTGCTCACTCCATGCAAAGCAACTAAAAACCCCAAGGATCAGATATGCATTGCAATATGCAGAACTTTCCTTCTGTCTAATAACTCAGCAGTGACAAGGAGAGCAAGGAAACAAGTTGAAATTAGAGGCAAAGCTATGTCTGGTAGGCAATGTTCATCAGGGAGGAAGGGGGCTAGGTGAAACTCATCCTCTTATCTCCAACCTTAATGCGTTTATTATGGGCAATAATAATTTCACAGTCACAACGCAAACTGCCATAGCTGACAACTCATTTTGCATTTTTTCTGTATTTTTCAAGTTTTCCTTCAAGTTTAGGTCCATTAATATTATTTTCCTTTACAAATATCCATCCATTTTGAGTACTCTGTCACCTTGCTGTTTTCTGATTTAACTTTCCCCTTACTTTTTAAGAAAAGGTAGTTCATTTGTATGTTATTTTCTCCTGTATTAACAACAGATCGTTGTGAACTGAGACATGATTGACAACAGATTGTTCAGGTGTTTTATATATATTGCAGTTTTCCACTTTCCCTCAGAGGAAGAGCATAGAGAGCTGAATTCATGCTAGCAGAAAATGCTAGCTACATCAGTGCTTTGCACTTGGAAGAAAACAAAAAAACTTGCTCCGATACCTTTATTACCATAGGCGTGCTATGTTCAGTGTCTTTTTAAATGCCATTTATTTCTTGCTTGCCTTTGTAGCTCCAGTGCCTACGACAGACTGGCCATATTCAACAGGTAATTCATGCTGGCCTGATCCACTCCTGGCCTTGCACCGAGCACCACCCCAAGACCACTGCCCAGGCTGCTCCCAGGGATGACCAGAGCCTCTGCAGAAGGGTGTCCATGATGGTGATATGTCCAAGCCCTGCTGTGGCCAGCAACCTTATGGTTCCTGGGTCCATGGCAGGAGCCTGTAGAGGCCAACCTCCGGCCGTGCCTGGGCCATGGTGTCCTGTGGCTGGGAGCAAGTGGATGTGGATCAGTACCTTTCTCTGCTGTCACCATCTGGAAATACCACTTTCAAGAAAAATTTTCAACTAGCTGTTACCCACCTCCATTCTCTCCATTGACCCCAGTCAAGATGGAGTATGCCATCAGAGTAATTTGTCATGATTTCACTTCATTTTTGAGGAACTGGGCTTGTAGCTAACATACAGATGTACCTATTGCACAAGCACGGTCCTCATGTGTGTGCTGTTTTTCTTCTGTATTCACAGGAAAGATCTCCACAGTGCCAACAAACTCAGCACCAGAGACAACCTCCATAGCGGAGACGACCTTCATAGAGGAGACAACTGCCACAACACCAATGACCTCTCTAGCAGATATGACCACCACAGCATTAACAAACCCCACAGAGGAGATGATGACCCTGGTAGATACAACCAGCACAGTGCCAACAACACCCATAGAAGAGACAACCTCCCTGCTGGAGATGACCACCAAAGTGCCAATGACCTCCATAGCCAAGATGACCACCACAGTGCCAACAACCACCATAGCAGAGACAACCACCCTATCAGAGACAGCCACCACAGCAACAATAACTACCACAGCAGAGGGGAGCACACCAGGTAACCTGCTCCACTGTCACTCACTGATCTCCTTAGTGCCTCTGATTTCCCTTCCCAGATGTGATTGCACTGGAGGGAGTCTCCTATCCTTGGGCCACTCCACTTATGCCATTCCTAGCACCCAAGTCCACAGTGAGGATTCAAACAGAGCATGGAGAAGAGCTGGTAAACTGGGGGGGCTGAGGCTTGGGGCCAGGACCTCTGTAGCCATTGCTGGTGAAGGAAACTGTTCAGGTTGGGATTTCCTCTCATTGCAACTGGGGGAATTGTGACAGGAGATCGTTCTGCCTTCCCCCCTCCAGTTCCTGCACAGGTAGTAACATAGCTATTTCCTAGACATGCTCTGGGATTTGGGATGTGACTGGAAAAAGAGAGAGATGCTGCATCAAATATTTCGTAATGCAAGTTAGACCTCCACAGGCACGTGGCTTCTGCCCAGGGAGCAGATGGCTGTGCGAAACAGAGAAGTCACAATGGTCGTTTCAATTGAATGAAAGACCTCTGCATGATGTGAAGTGCCATAGGACAGGGGCTCCTTGAAGACAGGCTAATTTGGGGTGCATGACATGTACTGATTGTATTCAGAGCCTTTTTCATTGACACCAAATTCTTACTTGCATCCGTATGTTCAGTGCCCACCACACACTGGCTGTATTCAACAGGTAATTCGTGCCCACCAGACCCATCCTTGGCCTTGCAGCAACCGTGCAGGCTCCCTGCTGTAGGAGCCCCTCTGGGGACTGTAGAGTGCCAGGCTGGAGGGACCCTAACCCATGTGCCTCACCCCATGAGCCCGCCTGTGGCTGTCTGGTGGGAGGAAAGACTGCGAGGGCCGCGTGGAGTTGTACAACAGCAGCAGCTGAGGGACGGTGTGTGATGACTCGTGGGACCTGAGTGATGCCCAGATGGTGTGTCGGCATCTGGGCTGCGGCCAGCCCATGGCCACCCCAGGCAGTGCGCACTTTGGCCTTGGCTCTGGGCCCATCTTCCTGGACAACAAGCAGTGCCATGGTGATGAGCGCTCCCTCCAGATGTGCAAGCACAACATCTGGGGCATGCACAACTGCAGGACATGGCAGGAGGTGACACGTAGAGGACGCTAGTGTCATCTGTGAATCTGCATGGGCAGCAGAGACCATTGGCTTTCCCACAGACGACACCAGGCGGGTTTTGGTGCCCTCCCTTGGGAGCAGCTATGCTTACCTCTCTCGGTAGAGCTGGAGCGGAGCAGCGAGGTTGGGGGTTTTTGCAGCCTGGTGCTGGAAGCACGTGTCATGCAAAAGCCCTGTTTTTGCACACAGAGGGCACAGCAGGCTGTCCATGATCATAGGTATGGATGCTCGGTGCATTGGCAAAGAACAGGATTGCGGGATTGCAGCGTGAGGAAGAAGGGACAGCACTGGGAACACATCAGGCTGGTGTCTGGAGGAGGAACGGCAGGAAAGAGCCCCATGGTCTCTTCACCCATTAGGGCTCCAGCCTTTCACTTCCATGCCCATCGCCATAGCTATTGCCGTTGCTATTGCCATTGCCACGTCCATTACCACAAGCCTGCCACATTTACTGCCCTTTCATTCACTCCATCTTCTTCCTTGCAGCTGCGCATTCAACCTCTCTTGCTGAATCGCCATACACAACAAGTAATTCATGCCCACCCAGCTCATTCACAGCCTTGCAGCAAGCCCCAATCAAACATGAGAGAAGAGGCGGGGGACATGCTGGCCTGTGCCTACCTAGTGCGGGACTGCTGCTTCCCGCTGCCCATGACATATACGGGGTACATGAGTGGTCCCCCTCAGGGGATGAGCCAAACACACGGTGTATAAATGGTTTTTCTGCAAATGCCTCCATGCCCCAAGCATCTCTGCCCCCAGGCAGCGCCCACAGACACCCTAGCAGATCCCTACACATGGTGCATCTGCCCTCCAAACATCTGGAGAACTTCCTCAGCCTCTGACCTTCCCTGCTCCATTCGGGTCTGCACTGCCCCATCCCACGGTCACCACAGCCAAATCCCCAAAACAGCCGGGGAAGAGTGGACTGTGGGGACTAGGCTGGAGGGACCCTGACCTGGTTCACAGCCTAATAAAGCAGAGGGTGACAGTCCTGCTGGCCTGAAACTCGCAGAGCATTGCCAATGCCCCGGCGAGAGAAGGTGCCTGCGTGCCAGAGGGTTTTCCCATGTTTTCCCTCTCTCCTCCTTTCCAAGGTGCCTCCCTGAGCCTGGTGAATGGCAGGAACCGGTGCGAGGGGCGCGTGGAGATTTACCAGTACGGGAGCCGGGGCACTGTCTGTGATGACAGCTGGGACCTGAGCGATGCCGAGGTCGTGTGCAGGCAGCTGGGATGCGGCTTTGCTGTTTCTGCACCATCAAGTGCCTACTTTGGGCAAGGCACTGGCAACATCTACCTGGACGATGTGCACTGCACAGGGAGGGAGTCCTCCCTCTTTCAGTGCAGCCACCGTGGCTGGGGCGTCCACAACTGTGGCCACCATGAAGATGCTGGTGTTGTGTGCTCAGGTACCCTTGCTTTTCCTTCCTAAATTCCAGTCTGCTGTCCAAAAGTGGCCCTTGTTGGCCGCCACTCGGTATGTGTTGGAGATGTCTTCCAAGATTGTGGCTTTTGTTGCTCCCACCATGGAAGACCACCCAAGCTCTCCAGCGCCCACGTGACAGCGTGGCACCAACAGCCCCAGTGCCTGGAGAAGAAAACCTGGTCGTGCCCCTTCATCCACAGGGTCCTCACTGCCTTCTTTCTCTTCCTCCCCTAACAGATGCCACCGCCACCACCGAAGCCAGCTTCACGGCATCCGTTCCTCCAGGTGGGTCTGAATTTCTCATGCTGTTTTTGGGCAATGCCTTTGGCGGGAGCAGGTAGTGGCTCCCAGGATGGGGTCTGGTCTTCTCCATGGGCGAGCAGAGCCAGGGAAACGCACAGCCTGCCTCAGCAGAGGGTGACAGTCCT